CCCCAAAACCCCAAAACCCCAAAACCCCAAAACCCCTCATGAATCTATATAAGTTGAAGAAAAGTTATATAATTATAATGGTAAAGAAAATCATCTTTATTTGTGTTCTCATGCTTATTAACGTAAGCATGGCCAACAATCCAGGACTTGTGGCAGTAGTCAGAAGAGAGATTATTGACAGAGTCAGAGACAAATACTTTGTAACTGCATTCCAGACCTTTGGTCATCAAGAAATCCCTGATGTTTCTGCTGGAGATATGCAAATAAGCCAGATCAAGGCTGATCTTGTTAATTCAGACCCTGCTGATTTGATTACTTCTTTCCGTGGTGATATCAATGCTGTTGGAGTTGATCTTAAGGAGACTTATATGGATGTCAACGTCCATTGGCACTACAAGAGTGGAATCTTGTCTTTCTCTGGAACTGCTAGGGTTAGAACAAATTTCCATGACCTTGGAATGAATATTGTCATGACCAAGGTTGACGACGGTCAGTTTGCCATCCCACAAATCAATGTACAAGATATGAACGTTAACATGGATAGAGGAAGCTTCAACCTTGATCTTCATTGTTCAGGATGTCCAGGATTCGTTGAGGACATTATCAGAGATATCTTAAAGGGAAAGCTTATGGACACCGTTCAGAATTCAATCAGAGACCAAGTTCCTCAACAAGCTAACAGCATTGGAAATGAAATCCTCAGAAACAGTTACCCAAGAACTTTCAATCTATATGACAACATCGATTTAGCTACTGCTCTAACTTCTAATATCCTTGTAAAGGATGACCACTTGGAAGTTCCTTTAGATGCCACTTTCTTCCCAAAAAATCAAGGATATAGCCGCCCATCTGACGCTCCTGAGATGCCACACTACAACCCGACAGATCCCGGAGAGATGATGATGTTTTTCAGCTCTTATCTTGTAGACACTCTATCGACCACCATTCATAGCGAAATCCAGACCTACGATTTTACTATCTTGGGTATCCAATTCCAAGCATCTCTTGACCCAGAGGCAGGAGATACTGATCTCTACTTCGAAGACGGCGACTTCATCGTTGAGGCTCACCCTAAGATAGTCTCTCCATTCTGGCAGATGGGTCTCCATTTGGGAGGTTCTGCTAAGCTCAGTCCATCAATTTCATCCGGAGATGCTCAGAATATGCTTTCAGTAACGCCTACGGTAAAGGAACTCAAACTTGATGAACTTAGGATTGTTACACCAGGAGATATCTATGAGTTGGACAGCATCTCTAGCTACTTCAACTTGTTCGTGCAATCATTCTTGAACTACTTCGTCATCCCAGTGATCCCAGTACCAAAGCTTGAAGTCTTGCCACTCACGATGAAAAATAGTGAACTCGATTTCCACAAGGCATATTCTGAGCTCGGCCTATTGTTTGAATTCTCTTAATAATAGTGACCAGGTTTCAACCAAGATGAGATGCTGGGGTTTTGGGGTTTTGGGGTTTTGGGGTTTTGGGGTTTTGGGG